TCAAAGCTCAAACCAACACAGATGCAGACCACGGCTCATCACGGAGAGCGGGGAAGACTATTCCCACGGGCCTCTCCCACGATTCTTATGCACCAGTGGGCAGCGGAATGCAAAGGCCAGGAGCGAACCCAAATTTGCAGCATGGCTTGCCTCAGGCGGCAAGCGAAGAAAGGTAAAACCATCCAGACTGATGATGGATGTTTTGCATGGCACGGGCCTTGCCGTACTCGCCGACGCATTCCTTCCACCAGTCCATGTTGTCAGACTTCGAGAGGAGAAGGAGGAGGAGAAGAGAGGAGGAGGAGGAGGACGGCCCGCTGCGAGCGGGACGGCCCGACAGCACCAGCGAGACCTGCGCCGCCTGCGCAGGTGGGCCTGGGCGGGGTGGGTGGCTCTACAGGTGCGTGCCGTGCGGATCCGCTGTGTGCCGGGATTGCGCGGTGGACGCCGTCGCCCCCGCTGCCGCCAGCTTGGGGCCAGGGTCCGCCGCCGGAGCCGACGGCATGCAGGCGCTCGAGGCGGATACTCCGGCGACCGCACCGGCCTCAGACGCGGCGGCGGCCGCGGCGGCAGCGCCGGCGACGGGGGCGGCAGCGCCGGCGGTCGCAGCAGCGGCGGCCGCCCCCGCTGCGCCTGCGCCGCCGCCACAGCCGCTCCAAGACATGGAGGCGGGCTGCTGGGCGGCCCTGGACGCCATCGACCTCTTGGACGAGCTCGCTCAAGACTGCCCCACGCTCCGGTTCGTCCCCGGAGGGGCCCGGGCAGCGGCCGCACAGGCCACAGAAGCGGTCTGCCAGGCGGTGCTGCGCTCTGCGCCGGGCACGGTGGCGGAGACCCGGGCGTGGAAACTCCTTCTGCTCAGGGAACGGCTGCTCTTTGCCGCGCCGATCCGCCGCAACACAGGCGGGCGACGCCAGCCGGACAGCGAGCCCCCGGAGAGGGCGCGTTTGGTCCGGCAGCGGTGCTCCCTGCTCCTGCACGGTTCCTGGCAGGAACTCCTCGGGGAAGCGCGGAGAGCCGCCCGGGGCCTGGCCCAGGCCCGGCGGGAAGCAGGGGGGGAAGGCGCCAACGACAAAGGCCGCCTATCCGACCAGGTGGTACGCCAGGCCCTCGCTGAAGAGTACTCGCGGGCAGCGGCGCTCCTGGCGAGCCCCGGCCTGGCGCCGCCGACGGAGGAAACAGCGACGAAGCTACAGGAGCTCCTCGCTCCCCGCGGAGCACAGGCGCTGGCCCGCGACCCTCGCCCGGGGCCGGCGGCGGCGGTTTCGCCCCTCTCGCGCGCGGAGCTCAGACGGGCCCTCCGGCGGAGCCCCAAGGGCAGCGGCGCCGCGGTCGGCGGCGGCCGGTTTGAACACTGGCGAGTGGTGCTAGCCGAGCCAACCGCGCTCGAGGCTTTCTGCGAGGTCTGCGACCGCCTCGCCACAGCGAACCTGCCAGAGAGCGCTGCCGAGGCCCTGGCACTCTCGAGACTGACGCCGCTCCGCAAACCAGGCAACGGGGTGCGCCCGATCGCTGCCCCCAGCATCCTCCGCCGGCTGGTGGGGAGGGCTCTGGTGACCCCGCTGAAGAGGGACCTCGCGACTGCTTTGGGCAAACGGCAGTTCGCGATTGGGACGAAGGCGGGGACCGAGCTGCTCGCCCACACGGCCCGGGCGCTGTCCGAGAGCAACCCCGACCTGGTGTTGACGGCGCTCGACGCGAAGAACGCCTACGGCACCGCGAACAGGGCCCACTGCTTGGCAGAGCTGGAGGACGCGGCGCCAGAGCTGCTCCCCCTCGCGAAGCTCTTCTGCCAGCGGCGCTTCCAGTACTACTTCTGGGACAGCAGCGGGGCTTGCCACAGGCTCCGCTCGGCGGACGGGGTGGACCAGGGGGACCCCTTGGCGCCGCTGCTGTTCGCTTGCGGCCTGCGCCCGCGCCTGCAGGCACTGGAGGAGGCGCTGCGCGCGGAAGCGACTGCCCGAGGGCTGCGGCCCGACGACATCCGGGTTTTGGCTTACCTGGACGACGTGATCGTTTTCACGCCGCCCGAGCTGGCCGCCGCCGTCACCCCGGCGGCGCAGGCGGCCCTGGGCGCCGTCGGCCTTGAGCTCCAGCCGCGCAAAACGCAGGCCTGGTCTCCGCGCTCGCCGTGCCCGGCCGGGCTCGAGGAGCAGTGGCGCCCGCGCGGCCTCGCGCTGGTGGGTGTTCCGCTGGGCGAGCCGCTGCCGCCGGGGAACCTGCCGGGCGCGACGGACGGCCGCCGCTTGGACCTGGGGGCGCCAGCCTACGCTGCCGAGCGCTGCGCCGAGACTGCGGCACGCGCGGCCGCGCTGCTGGGGAGGCTCGCGGAGCTGCCGGGGCTGGCCTCGCCGGACCTGCCGGCGGCGCAGGCTGCCGGGCTCCTCCTGCGGCACTGCGGCACGGGGAAACTGGTGCACCTGCTGCGCACGACCCCCCCCGCGACCGCGCGGGCCGCCGCCTCCGCTTACGACGCCGCTACCCTGCAGGCCTACGAGGAGCTGACGCACCTGGGCCCCGTGACAGAGGGCCAGAGCGCGCACTGCCGGCTGCCGCTGCGCCTCGGCGGGCGCGGCTTCCGAAGCGAGGAGGAAATGGCCCCGGCGGCCTGGGCGGGCTCCTGGGCGCAGAGCCTAGCGGGCGCGCGGGAGAGGAGCGGCCTGCCCGACCTGGAGGACCTGGACACCTCAGGCCTGCCGCTGGCCACGGCCTGCCGGGAGGCCCTGGCCGCGCTGCCGGGGCCGGTCCCCGCCGCGGAGGAGGAGGGGGAGGACGCTGCGCCGCTGCCGCCTTGGCGGGAGCTTGCCCGGGCGCCTCGGGAGAAAGCCGCAAAAATGCTCACGCGCAGGCTCGACAAAAAGAACCACAACGCCTTGCTGAGCACTTTGGGGCCCGAGGGCCGGGCGCGACTCCGCTCTTGCGGCGGCGCCCGCGCGGCCGGCTGGCAGCTGGCGACCGGCGGGCCCGGACAGCGCCTGGGGGACGACGACTACCTGGACACGGCGCGGGCGCTGCTGGGCCAGGGCCTCGCGCCGCCCAACGGCCGCTGCCAGAACCGGCGGCGCACGGGCGCGCGCGCCGGGCAGCTTCGCGGCCAGCCCCTCTGCAGCAAGGCGCACCGCGCCTTCCGCTGCGCCTGCGGGGGAGGCACTGAAGCCCGCAGCCGGACTGTCGAAGACGTCTGGGGGCGCATTCGCGCTGGGTGCGACTTCCAGACGGCGCGCCAGGTCCACGTCCCGGCCTGGGACCGCTGGCACTGGGCGTGCACGGCAGCCGGCTGCGCGGCGCGGGGCTCCGCCGACGCCCCGCCAGCTGGGCCTTGCCAGGCCTGCGGGGCCGCGCTGCAGGCCCGCCGCGAGGAGGCGCTGCTCGACCTGCAGGCGCAGCGGGCGGGCTCCCCGCAGCTGCTAGCGGATGTGACCGTCCGCTACAGCGTGCCGGGCGAAGCCGACGCCCTGGCCGCGGCGGCAGGCGCGGACGGCGCCGTGGCGCGGGAAAGGGAGCGCGACAAGAGACGTCGCTACCCCGCCGGCCGCGCCCCCTGGCGGGCGCTGCCGCTCAGCCTCGAGACGGCCGGGCGCCGCGGGCCGGCGGCGCTGAAGCACCTGCGCTGGCTGGCGCGCGGGCGCGCCCAACTGCTGGGCGACGGGCCGGCGGCCGACGCTGCCGCAAGCGCGCTCGCTGCTCGCTGGGGCGCCGAACTGAGCACGGCGCTGCACTGCGCCACAGCGCGGCAGCTGCGCTCCGCGCTCGGGCGCGAGGCCGCGCAGGCTTCGGCGGCGGCGCTGGTGGAAGAGCTGGCGCGCTAGGCGCGCCAGCGGGGGCGCCGCGGGCCGGCGGCCGGGGCGGCTGGCGGGCTGGGCGTCGTCGTGCCCGACCTCATCGTCGCAGGGCACGTCCTGATCAGTGTCGGCGCGCGCGGCCATAGACCGCGCCCCGCCGTGCCAGGAGGAGGAGGAGAAGGAGGAGGAGGTGGTGGTGGTGGTGGTGGTGGATGGTATTCCAGTGTAGTAGTAGTAGTAGCAGTAGTAGTAGTCGTCGTAGTAGTAGTAGGAGGAGGTGCGAAGGGGAGGAGGGGTAGGAGGAGCAAGGAGGAAGGATTGTAGGAAGGATGAGGGAGCCTTCTGGTGGGGGGCTCTACGCAGCCGCCCCCCCCCCCCCCAGGGGCAACTGCCCTTTGAGGGGGGGAACGGCTGCGTCGCATTGGACGGCGGAACCAGCAGCGACAGCAGCAGGGGCAGGGGGACATGGAGGGGCTGGAGGCTGGAGTTTATTGTGCGATTTTGGCGATTGAGCCTTCTGGAAGTTTCTGGAGGAAGTGGGAGCGGGATGGAGGAGGAGGAGGGAACGAAAGATGATGAGGAGGAGGAGGGAACGAAAAATGAAGGAGGGGCTGGTGACGTTTCGGCCTCTGGAGGCACCTGGAGACCTTTGGGATCCCCAGTTGTGTGTGTGTGTGTGTGTGTGTGTGTGTGTTTTTGTGTGCGCGTCCCGCTTAGCTTTCAGCGGAAGAGGTTCGCTCTCGCCCTGCAGATCAAAAAGTGTGTGCTTTTGTATGTGTGAGTATGCCGTGGTTGCGCTTCTGTCGCTCGCGCTCGCCTCTGGACTGCTGCTGACCCAGCGCGGTGCTGAACACGCGCTTGCCGAAGAACACATGCGCGTATGCCTCCGATCCTTGCCAAGGAGCAGGCTTCGCATCCCGAGTCGTCTTCTGCGGCCTCGGGGCCGGGAAGCTCCAGGTGCCGAGAGCGAAGAAAGACTGGCCGATTTCCTGGAGGTTCCAGGATCTGAGGGTACGACACGCCTCCCTGCCCCGCGGACGCAGGAACGGACGGGGCCGGCGTCCCCTCGGTGGCGTAATTTTCCGTCGCGGATCCACGTTTGATGGCCCCGGGGGCCCACAACGGGCTTCCGAGGCCGAGATCGAGGAAACACTGCAGGATGGAACAGACTATGCCGTCGGATTTCTGGGCGTGCTCGCCGCCAAGTTACCCCTGGAGGTGACGAGCCTGTTCTCAGAGCACGTGCAGTCGCTGGACCACCGGGAGCTCGCAGTCGTCTGCAACGCGTTCGCGACTGGCGCTCCGGACAGGCGTCAGCTGGCGATACAGAAGGGTCCTGTAGGTTCGCGCCGCCCTGACGCGGCGGCGACTCAAGCGCGGGCGTTCAAGCGCTGCCAGTGGCCTGGGCTTGGCCCTCGTCGAGCGACCGTTCGCCATCTCCAAGTGCAATTGATCAACGTCGAGCGGTCCTCGCAGTGTCAGGAACCAATGCCGACCGTCGGCGACGTTACCGCGACTGTGTCGCCAATGCGCGAGCGGCCAGCGACGCCAAACGTCCGTGCTGTTTCCTGAACATCCGTAGGATGGTACACGTGCTTCGATTTCGGGTAGTGCTCGTGCGGCGATGCGCACGAATGCTATTTTCCCAACCCTCTTGCGTTGGGTTCTCGTTTTGAATAGAGCACTGCTCGCGCGTCTCCTTCCCACCCCCTCCCGTCCCTCTCTTCCCCCTTGCCTTTTGCCTCGCTCGTCTCTGCGTGCCAGCTGGGGGGCTGCGATATGTGAAACTGTCGCCACTTTCGAGGCCTGCTGGGGGGCCCAGCACAGTGTGCACCCGCGGCGGATTCAAATGGGATCTCGCCATCCCTGGGGGGCTGCGATCTGTGAAACTGTCGCCACTTTCGAGGCCTGCTGGGGGGCCCAGCACAGTGACGCCACACGCAGATTCAAATTAGACCTCGCCATCCCTGGTGGGCTGCGATCTGTGAAATTGTCGCCACTTTCGAGGCCTGCTGGGGGTGGGCCCAGCACAGTGTGCACCCGACGGCGGATTCAAAATGGGACCTCGCCATCCCTGGGGGGGCCTTGCGTATCCTGTGAAACCTGTCGCCACTTTTCGAGCCTGCTGGGGGGCCTGCGCAACAGTGTGCACCGCGGCGGATTTCCCAATGGGGACCTCGCCAACCCGGGGGCTGCGATCTGTGAAACTGGTTCCCAACTTTCAGGCCTGCTGGGGGGCCCAGCACACAGTGGGTACCCGCGGAGGATTCAAACTGGGACATTGCCATCCCTGGGGGGCTGCGATCTGTGAAACTGTCGCAATTTTCGAGGCCTGCTGGGGGGCCCAGCGCAGTGAGGGCCACGGGCGGACCCAAATTAGACCTCGCCATCCCTGGGGGGCTGCGATCTGTGAAACTGTCGCCACTTTCGAGGCATGCTGGGGGGCCCAGCACAGTGACGCCACGGGCGGAGTCAAATTAGACCTCGCCATCCCTGGGGGGGCTGCGATCTGTGAAACTGTCGCCACTTTCGAGGCCTGCTGGGGGGCCCAGCACAGTGGGTACCCTCGGCGGATTCAAATGGGAACTCGCCATCCCTGGGGGGCTGCGATCTGTGAAACTGTCGCCACTTTCTTACCTCGCTCGTCGCTACGTTTCGAGGGCTGCTGGGGGCTGCGATCTGTAAAACTGTCGCCACTTTCGAGGGCTGCTGAGCTTGTCCCAAGTAGCTTACATATGAAACAACGGATCCTGCAATTTGATTGTCCGTGCAAGTTTCGGCCAAGTCTTCGTTTCCCATGATACAAATGGGTTGGGTACGTCACAGGGTAATTTAAACATGCAGCAATGTTCCAAAAACGCTGGCACTAAGTTAACCTTAGAACAGTTGTGCGCGACCGACGTTATCGGGAGGAGAACCTGCCGTGCACCTTCGCCGGGGTGCGCCTTGGCGACGGACCACGGCAGGGCTCCCCTGCAGGACACCCGAAAGGGTCTGCATGGCTCCTCTCTCCTGGGAGGCGGCCCCCCTCCCCGAAGCGCGGCGCAGCCGAGCGGCTTCTTGATAAAGGTGTAAGATTTTGTAAGCACGGGGGGGCTGGGACGGTCGCGCACCTTTTATGGCAGGTTACCAGCTCGGCCATCCTCCCAGCCCCGCACTTCGGCCATCCTCCCCGGCCCCAAGTCTCCGCCATCCTCCAGGCCCCGTACCTTTGCCATCCTCCCGGCCGCCGCGAAACTTCGCCCCAAATCGGCCTTCAAACTGCCTCGCCCTGACTGCCAGAGCCCCCATGTTCGCCCCAACCAGAGCCCCCATGTTCGCCGCAAAGGTGCAGACCCCCACAGGGCTTACAAGTTAGACTGGCTTTGAAGCCAGCTGGGGATCTGAGGTGGCCCAGCACTGGTTTCGGCCAGGGGGGGGTTCGAGGAGGTGGGTTCGAGCAAGCTATTTTTGTTTTTTGCCTTCTTCGATCTCCGGGGGCCGTTGTTGGGGCCCGGGACCGTCAGAACGGATCCGGGGTGGACAACTGCACCAGATTCGGCTAGACGTAAGAGTGACCCTTCGCCGGAGTGACCTTCGGTGCGGGGCCATGGGGGTCACCCGATCGTGCCGGACGCGATGCAATAGGAGCGTCTTGTGCGCTTGTGTTTGGTCCCCCATGGCCCCCCAAAAAGCCGCGCAGCAAAGGTCACTCTTACCCAGGGCCGCTCTTGCGTGTAGCCGACAGATGCGTCCAGGGATCGACTTTGAGACTTTGAGCGGATTTGACCTTATCCCACCCCGCCCCCCAGACAGACTTCTCGGGGCCCATGCAGTCCAGACCCATCGGCCGCCTCCCGGGTGCACCCTCACGTTGAGCCGATCTGGCCAAAGGGTGAGATTTGCCCAGAGGGGTAGCATCGGCGCCCGCTCGCCCGTGCCCGGCTGCCCGCTAATCATGCAGAAGCGCGCGGCTGTGCGTCCCATCTCACCTTTGTCCGAAGATTTTTTTTGGGTGGAGGGCAGAGGGTGAAATCTGAAATGCCGTTTCGATAGGTTCTCGAGGCTTGAGTCGGCAAGAGGTGAAAATCGCAAGACGGAGTCATTTTCGAGGCGCAAAAGCACAGATGGACTTCACCCCGAGCCCTCCACGCCAAGAACATGCTCCCCTTTGTCTCGGCGACGCCTCGTCGATTCCAGGCCGACGCTCCCGCCCTCCCTGAGCCGGCAGCTCCCCTCGGCCGGCTCCCCGGAGGCCTCCAGAGGCCTCCAGGGGTCCCTTACCAGCCTCGAACTTACCCCTACCCCTAAGATGGACACGCCAAAGAGCGATGACAACCTTAGGGATGCGCCCTCAAAAAAACAGGGAATCCCTAAGGTTGGCATCGTGATGAGGACATGCCCAGCATGGGGACAGGGGTATGTTCCAGGCTGGCAAGTTCCAGGAGGTCCCCGGGAGGTGCCCTGCGGCTCTCCCCGCGTATACGCCCTCGGCGGCCAAGAGTGGAGGTCGGGGCTGTCCGTCTGAAGGAGCTGCCCGACCGAAGCCAAGAGTCAGCCACGCGCAGAGGGGGGTACGGGGAGGGGGGAGGGCTTCTTAGAAGCACCCCTGCTTCTTAGAAGGCGCGGGCCTTCTCTATAGATGTAAGGCCAGCGCCTTCTAAGAAGCAGCCTGCTTCTAAGAAGCGCTCCCCCCTCCACCCACCCCCTTGTGCGCGCCGCCAAAAGAGCGTCCAGAAGCCCGAGCCAGCCCTCTCTTCGGGTCCGGTCCAGCCCAGGACCGGACTCTCCGCGCCGACGTCTTCGATGCATGCGCGACGCGGCGCGATTCTCCGACCCCGTCCACTCGGACCAACTTCGGGACTTCCCCCCCATCATGTGCTTATGTTTCAGTCGGGCGTGTCCCCCTATAGGGGGATTTTGGGCGAAAAAACAAAATACTGATAAAATACCCCCCGAAGTGGTAATTTCGTCAAAAAAACTCGTCCCCATATTATGTTTTTCTGTCAATTTTTGAATGTTCCTCCTGTAGAGGAGCTTATGTCGAGCCAGAAACCTAGGTACAAGCATAAGCTGTCGGAGGTCCGCGCGGCTTCCTTGTGTCCGCGTTGGGCTCTTGTGGCGGCGCGCTCCGCGCGCCAGGGAGGGGGGCCCGGCGCCGATCTAAGAACTCCGCGCGGACCTCCGACAGTTTGTGTGTCCATGCTGCTTTCCCCGACCGACAGGTGGGGGCTGTCATATTGAAAGAAAAGAGCTCCCGACTCGCCTCTCGCTGGCGGCGGACGAGGGGGGGAAGTGAGAAGGAGAAGGCCTTCTCAAAGGGTCGCGGGGCTTCTCAGAAGCCCGCCGGCCTTCTGAGAAGTTTTCTGTGTCGTCGGGGAAGGCATAGGAAACTTCCCAGAAGGCTGGGGGAAGTCCGAGCCTTCCGAGAAGGCTCGCTCCTTCTCATTTCCCCCTTGAGCTCGCCGCCGAGGCCAGGGCAGACCATACCATGTTGCGCTACGGCCCATCGGGGGCCGTAGCGTACAACACGCACAAGCCCACGCCAGATTTTTGTCGGTATACGCCAAGCCCCGTGGGGCCGCAGGTGGGGTGGTGTCGCTTGTTCTCTGGCGACCATGGGGGGGGAAGAGCAGGTCAGGGCGGACGAGATGTTCACGCCGGTCGTTGAAAGTAGGCATTCTTGGATTCCCAGATCCAAATTTACTTTAAGCGCCTTCCTATTTCAATCATCGATCTGACTTTGCTGCGTTTTGTCATTCTGGGAGGGACTGAACCCAATCTACTTTGTCCGCCTTCCTACCTCACGGTTTTACGTACTTCTTCCGATCGACGTGTAATGAGGCTCGCCGCTGGTTTCGTGTTCTGCCTGCTGGGGTCGCCAGGGCGTGCCAGGGCCTCCTACCATCCCGACCCGCGTCTCCGACGAAGGTGCCGCCGGGACAGCACACATCGCGACCGAAAGGCCCCCCCAGGAGAGCCTGGTGCTCCCAGGGGGTCCCGCCTCACTCTCTCGGGTTGGGGGAGTCGCTCGAAGCAAGATGCCCGGACCCGTTTCTTCTTCTTCTTCTTCTTCTTCTTCCCTTTCTTATTTTTCTTCTTTTTCTTCTTATTCGCATTCTTATCCTTATTCTCACTACTACGCTCTTTATATGGTCTCGTTTGGCATGCGCCTAAACGATTTTATTCCCCCTGGCCGTAGTGCTCTGTCGCCCCTCCTCCTCCCTGCTCCCGCAGCTGTTTAGGCTAAGCAACGCTTTTTTGCGGAGGGGGTGCCCCCTCAACTCATGTTTGGCCTGGCTTGGCTGGCGGTTCCGCTGGTTGCGGCCGC